AAAGGTATAAGCCCTGGCTGGGAGGTTACAATCTCCTGAGTTTGGCCAGTCTACTTTGGCTTGGGGCCCTTGACCAGTGTGCCAGGAAGATTGATTTCCCCGCCCCTGGCCTGGGCACTGCAGTGTCGGTCCAGTGGTGAGCAGGAGGGGGTACTCAGTAGCCTGTGAGCCATGTACGTCTGTGCGTCTGTGGGTGCTGAGTGCCGCTGCAGGGCCCTCCAGTGCCTGTGAATGTGTGCACTCACCTTTCAAGTATTCCTCTGTTTGCTGGAACATGACATTGAATAGCAAATAAAAAACAGATCACCATTATAGTGTAGAGGGAATCTGCAAAGGAAAGATATCATTCTATATTTTAGCACCTTTAATGGCACTCCCCCCCTACTTTTAGAAAAAGGCGTTTATATTTTTGTCTTGCACTCAGCCCCACCAATGATGTAGCCATCCCTGGTGGCAGGTGTTCAAATATTGAAGCTTTCAAGGGATACTGGTGAAGGTTCTTTGGAGGTATACACACTGTGGTTTACTGAAGTTAACCCTGAGATCTGTGACGGACCTTGTATGATTTTGTACTCTTTTTCCAACCATGCCAAAGTTTATGCATCTCTTTTTATAAATAACAGGAGTTTATAATTTTTTTTTAAAAAGGGTTATTTTCCTTTTCTATATTCAGAAGCAGTTTCTGTAAAGTATATTTTTCTCTTCCTTGAAAGTTGAAAAAGATTCATTAGTAGATCTGTCAGTTCCCAACTACTGCCACCATAGAGATCAATTGGTTGGTCATTATTAGGTCATTATGATAAAAATTTTGAAGGAAGATAAGTTAACGAATGTGCCATCACAATGTGAGATTCTCTCACCCATGTAGACATGCTGTGCTAGTCTCCCAGGAAACATTTTCAGTAGGAGCCTGTTTAATTTTTTTTTTAACCTTTTTTTTTTTTTAAGATTTTGTTTATTTATTTGAGAGAGAGAATGAGATAGAGAGAGAGAGAGAGCATGAGAGGGGGGAGGGTCCGAGGGAGAAGCAGACTCACTGCTGAGCAGGGAGCCCGATGCGGGACTCGATCCCAGGATTCCAGGATCATGACCTGAGCCGAAGGCAGTCGCTTAACCAACTGAGCCACCCAGGCGCCCGGAGCCTGCTTAATTTTTAAAAAAACAATCCAAGGAGTATGAACATAAAGCACTTGTGCAGGAGTATATCTTATTTTTATAAGAATCATGGACAAGTTTGTTTCAGGGTTTATGGGTGACATATTAAGCAGAAAAACATCTCTCTGAGGAAAAGAGTCACTGGCCAAAACCCAGTATATTTTCATCTGTAAGTGCTTGGCTATTGAAGGAGGGAGGTCTGGAGTATCATTTAATTTAAAAAGTTAATCAGCCTATCACTGACTTTCCTCTTCCTGTACAAGAAATTAGACTGTAAGCAAGACAAGAAAATGGGAATACTAACCCAATTCAATTTTGTAAACATTGAGTAAACTACACTTGTGTGAAGCACTGTCCTAGTTTTCAGAACAAATGAAAGCAATTTCCTGGCTCCGAAGAGTTTGTTTATTTAAGATTTATTTATTTATTTTTAGAGAGAGAGAGGGAGAGAGAGAATCTTCATCAGACTCCCTGCTGAGCATGGAGCCCAATGTGAGGCTTGCTCTCAGGACCCTGAGATTATGACCTGAGCCAAAACCAAGAGTCAGACAGTCAATCGACTAAGCCACCCAGGTGCCCTATAGCTCCAAGGAGTTTAAAACATGTTATAGAAATATGTAAAATATAATTCCAAACAGTAATTGTATACTTTTTTCAAGTTGATTAGATTGATTTCAACAAGATGTATCACAAGATTAAGTTTGGAATACCTCAGCCTGGGTCATTAAAAAAAAAAAAAAATGTGGTGCTTCTGAAGTTACCATAAGTCCAACCAAGATTATTCCATGGCAATATGACTATGTTGGTTGGAAGGTGACTTGTTGGATGAGTGTGGTCAATGAAGTGAAACATATACGTGTAAAAGGCTTAGCTGCATTTAATTCATCCTGTGAATCATGTTCAAAATGTTGTAATGGATTTAACAATATTGCCTCTCAGGTGAATAGCATTTTATAGTTTTAACACTCTTCTGCCTACCCTATCTCACCCAAGACTCACAGCAGCTTTGTGAATTGGACAAATTAAGCAAAATTAACCATTTTTACAGATGCAGAAAATGAGGTCCAAAAAGAGGATTAGTCGATAGGCAGCATGGGATTTTGATTTAAGTCCCAGATCTGCTATCCAATGGTTGTATAACTTTGAGCAAGTTATTTAAACTTGCTATGCTTTGGTTTCCTTATATAAATTGTTTGTAAAAGTTAGGATGATAGTAATAATGGCATAGATATGAAATAAAATCATATATAAGAAAGAAATTACTTAGATCCTTTCTGGACCAAAGTGAATACAAATACATAGGGGGCACTATTCCCACTGTTTAAAATAGTATCTGTGTTTCCTGGGATTCTGCAATGTGATAGCCCTAGAAAATAAAAGGAAGTTTGAAAACAAAAATTCCTAATACAAGTATTCGTCATTTTACAAGCTCCTCAATGTTTATAGATTGAATGAGTGATTCCAGGCAGACTGATTTTTCTCCTAATATCCTGTGGAAATTGGTGCACAGACCCTTAGGCTTATAGAATTTGAGAGGCAATAGGGATAATACAGAATTATCTGGTTCAATCTCACTTTATAAGTGAGGAAACAGCATCAGCAAAAAGAGACAGCTAAGTTCATATACTGGGCATCTCCTTCTCTGAGTTAGATCTAGTAACCTTTAAAAGTACACTCACACACCATGATTCTAAGATTCTCTGTGCCCAGCATCATCTTGATTGGAGGTGGAGGAAGGACAGAGATGTGCTGGTGCAGCCCAGTGGGAGGCCCAGTGGGGGCCACAGTGAGGTGGCTAAAACCTAAAGCTCAGTAGGAGGAAAAACCTAGGAGATCACAGGACAGGATGACAAACTTGGCTTTGAAAGGAGTCTTTTAATGAAGGAACACAAAGGGCATAAACATAAGCACCCCTGCAGAAGTGCAGTTTATTTTTGTAAGAATCCTAGACAAGTCTATTTCAGGGTTTCTAAGACAAGATAAGGATGGAATCCTCTGCTCTCTCCTATCATCTCAGCATCTTGCTCCCAGGCTCCACAGGAGGATTGCTAGTCTATTGATTCAGATATCTGGGGGCTTCTGCAGGCTTTTCTGGGCCGGTCTGGGTCACTGAGCCATCCATGACTTGGCTATGACATTGTTTTCATGAGGAAATGGATTACAGAAATAAAATAATCGACTTCTTAAGGACTCTGGAATAAACAAGTCGGAGACTGCGCAGTAGTCTGCTTCTTGTCCTCTGGAAGAACTTTAAACTCAATGGACTAAAAGCAAAAGATGAACAAACAAATTACTCAAACAGTCCGTTAAGAATGCCGTAGATGCTGGAAGCTCTTCTCTCCCCTCCCCTCCTTTTCCTTTCTCTCCCTCTTCCTTTTCCTTCTAGACATGCCAGTCACTGTGTTTAGGTCTAAAGGAATGAGCATGGCTTTCGCTTTGTTTTCTTTTGTTTTGCTTGCCATGTTAATAAATCTGGATTATAATAAAAATATCAGAGAGAACACATTGAAAGATGAATTTTGCACCAGGAGAACTCCTATACAAGATGTATGATTTTCCCTAGCAGAGCTGACTTCAATATGTACTCTTTGTTCAGTTAGACGTCCTAGGGGCTATTCAAAATCTAGGAAATGGTCTTTTGTGTTGACATTGAAACTTATCTTTATGACAAACACAAAGCACTGCTTTTCCATGTAATGGACATGGGTAAGAATTTACCATTTTCTGAATCCTTGTAACATCAATACTGTTCTTACATTATCTTGAGTAGATGTTTTGTAGTCAAAATACAAAGCAAAGTACATTACCAATATAATGTCAAGTGGATTAGAGGGATTTTTTTTGTCTTTTCTGAAAGACAGATCTTTCTGAGAAAGTCTTTCCTGAAAGACTTAGATCTTCCAGATCTAAATGTGATCTTGTGCAAGTTAACTCTCCAGACTGTTTCCTCAACCCTAAAATGGAGGTAAGCACAAGGTTGTGGTGAGGATGAAGTGAGGAGTACACTAAACACTTGGCATGGTCCCTGCCAGCAAGAACTCAATTCAAGTTTTGCTATTATTGTTAGTTTTGGACAAGTGTTAGACAAGGGTGTACTTTGTTTGCATTTGCTCACGTGTCACCAGATAATCAGAAATAGGCATTGGTTTCAATCATCTTGACAGAGTGAAATAATTTCCTTTGGGTCTTCTTTGGTTGTCTACAGAGCAAAGGACACAGGCCAGAGCAGAGATGTGCCCTGAAGCCCCGTGTCCAGTTGGTCCAGCCTCCCTACCCAAACGTTTCCAATAATGAGTCAGAAGTATAGAGCCTTAGGCCGAAATTAAATAATTGCTTTTGTTCTTCTCTTCTATAGCTACAATCTCAAAGAATTTCCAGTATCCTTTTAAACCAAGATTAATTCTGACGCTGGGAGCAACGCGATATAAATTACAATACAAAACAGCACAGCGTAGCATAGAGAGCTCAGAAGAAAGCGATGGGAGAACCTGGACCTTTAGCTCCCTAAACTTGGGCAGCTCGCCTTTCCTCTCTGGGCCTCAGTTTCCCCATTCATAAAAAGAACCCGGTTGTACTAGAACTGTTGCCCCAAAGCCAGAGGCTCATCCCGCTCCCAACTCACCCCCCCCCAAAAAAACCCATGTACGTCCTTTAACACTAAAGGGAAAAACATGCGGGCGTGAACACCGAACCCGGGCCGGTACCCGGAAGCCAGAAGCGCGCACCACCCACGCGGCCCGGAGGGACTGGGAGGCGGCCGTGAGAGCAGAAGCCGGAGCGGGCCGCGCCCCCCCAGCGTGCGCACGCCGCCCCGCCCCACCCCAGTCACCGCCCCACCCGCTCGCGGCCGCGCGCAACAGGCCGAGCCCGGTGAGTGGAGCGGTGTTCGCCCGCTTTCCCGTGCCGCCGTTTGCGGGGTCGTGAGCGCCCTCCCGGCGCCAGAGCGCGGGTGGGCGTAGGGCCTAGGGGGAGACCTGAGAGCCGAGCCCCGGGGAGCCTCGCGGGCACGGGCTGGCGGGCGCTGGCGCCTTCGGGACCGGGGACGCGCGCTGACGCGCTCCGTGATTCCGGGGACCGGGGCAGGGAGGACACGCCGGGTCTGTTGCTGCCCGGATGGAGGGGTAGGGTCACGAGTGACCCGGGCACCGAGAGTGGCCCCCGTGAGCTGCCGGTGGCCTGGAGACTGGGACGAGCGCTCGGAAAGTTTGGAGGCTCGGTAGGGAGGGTGACGCTCGCCCTGGCCCCGGCCCTGGCCGGGGAGCGCGGCCTCCACGTGGGCTGTGCTTCTGGCGTCAGGTCGGGCCTAGGAGACAGGCTTTGCGGTTGGGGAACCTGCGGGCAGGGCAGCTGCGGCCCTCTTGTCCCGCCCTGACTTTAAAATTCCAGCACCCGCTTGCAGGGCACTGAGCAAGTGTGACTAGCCTGGCAGCCTGACAGTGGGTCGTCCAACAGGTTAGGAAGGCCATGGTGTTCGCTGTGTTTTCAGGAAGCAGGGGCCTGGGAGTCCCAGGATGTGATTAGTCGACTAATTAGCTGTAAATTCGGCGCCAGGCCATTGATTTCACTGGACTCGCGTTTAAGTGGAGGAGTCTGATTTTCCCAACCTCTGCCACAATCTCGTGGGTGGATGGTTTTGCCTTTCTGCCCTCATCCTTTGTAACGTCGTGGGTCACCAAAATACATGAATATGCCATAATCCATTTTCTCTTTAAAATACAACTAAGAAGATAACTGCCAATCATACCTTTAGGTCCACAGAAGAACCAGTTTTCCCTCTGGATAAACATTTCTGTTGGAAAAAAAAAAAGATGTTTTGGGTCAGCCTAGGCGACCTCCCTACAGGTAATATTTCTATCCTGGATGTGCGTTTAATTGAGCAGAATTTGACTATCATTCTCTATGTGAATAGACCTAAAATTCCTGTGGAGAATTTACTAGGTTAATGCGGTTTTCTAGGTCCCAGCTACCAATAGGCTTGATATGGGGCCCAGATGTGTATGTGAACAAGTGTTCTTGGTGACTACCCTTTAAAACACTGCCCTGAAGATTATAAAGACACACTTCCCACCCCTGGGTGGTAGTAACCACTGAGGGCTGATGTGCCATTCAAATGACAGTGCAATTGACTACCCAAGCTACAATTGCCATCAGAATAATCCCCACTGAATAAACTTTGTTTTCCCCCAATGCTGTTTTGTGTAAGGGTTTGAGGATTTTTCTCTAAAATTATATACAAAACATGAAAAAGGAAAATTCAGCGAACGTTTCTTGGGGACCCATGTGCCATATTCTGTGCTAGGCTCTGGGAATGTACAGATAGCCGTTGCCCTCAAGAAGCTGTGTTGACTTGTCAGTAAATATTACTAAGGAAAGAAGGTTAGGACACTTAAAAATATAAAGGCTCTGTATTTGCTGTGGAATGGTTATCAGTATTGATTTTATTGTCGAGTTCATACTTTAAAGTTGTTTAGTTTTTCTATGGATGGCTAGTACAATATGAACTGAGTTTTGATTTAATCTTTATGCTTTAATGTTTATAATCAACTCAGATTAGAAACATTTGTTTTTATTTTAAAAATTGAAATGTAATTGATACATAACAGTTTCAGGTATATAACATTTGCTATTTGTGTACATTAAGTGATATGAATTGCTTTTTTTTTTTTAAGATTTTTATTTATTTGAGAGAGAGTGAGCAAGAGAGGAGAGAGCACAAGTCGGGCAGAGCAGAGGGAGGAGGAGGAGCAGACTGCCCACAGAGCAGGGAGCCCGCTGTGGGACTGGATCCCAGGACTCTGGGATCATGACCTGAGCTGAAGGCTGCTGCTTAACGGACTGAGCCACCCAGGTGCCCCCCAATTGCTTTTTTAAACTTTTTTCTTTTTCTGTAGCTGTATAAAAATATTTACTCAACTTCTGTTTGGGTAGTCTGTGAGGTTTATGGTCGGGCTTATATTGGCTTTTCTAGATAAAGGTTTTTTTCTTGTTTACTATATTTTTGAGATTCTAAGATAGGCTTTTTTACTTTTTCTGAAATTGTGATGCATCTTAAGATTTTTACATGTTTAATGTGGTAGGGTATGTCATCTCTTTTCCCCTCCACCCCCAAAAGCTGTTAAAAAGAATGGTTGTCTTACAGTGTGGTAGTGTGAAAATCAGAGAAATAGTATATTTGCCCAGTAACCTCTAAGCCAGTTTCCAATTAACTGAGCCTCAAATAATTTCAATATGAACGTAGAGAAACAAGAAATGATGTAACTTTTGGCAGTATAAGTGAAATTTATATTCTAACAAAAGCATTTGTTATGCAGTGCTGGGTTTATGTTATTAGTGATTGTAGGTGGGAAAAATGCTTTAAGTGATTTTATTTTTGGCTTACGTATCTTGTGCACTTTGTTTAACCACACTTCCTGGTGAATGTGCTCATGCTGTATTTATAAATTGTGCTTAAAGAAAAGCCTTTCATTGGCATCTTCCTGCTGTCCACATCCCTTAAATAAATTTTAAACTGACCAGTTGTGAGAGATAAGAGATGTATGGCTTAATATGAAATTACTTTTTCATTATAGGGTACCTTAATGATACAAACCCAATTTAACACTTCTTAAAAATTGGGAGCAATGTGTTGGGGGTCTCTAAGACCATCCCTAGGTTCAGTGATTTGCTGGGACTCACAGCTGATTTATTATAGCAATAGACTAGTGCTTAATTGGCCCAGCAACTAGTTGTGACAATACGTGTGAAATGCTGCCAACCAGGGAAGCTCATCAGACACTTCAGAGCTCAGGGTTTTTATTGGGGGCTGACCATGCAGGCATCCTCTGCCTGGCACCAAGCCCCAACCAAAATTCCAAACTCCCAGAGGGAAAACAGGTGGTCATTATAAACCACAGTGCGCAAACAATTTAGGCACAGTGAGCTTCTCTTATCCGCTACAGGTGGTGGGAGTGCTCCTGAAATCTAAGTTCTCAGACAATAGCCGTACATGGGGCCTTTCGAAGGACAGGCCTCTTCACTAGCTGTGCTCTCGACTGAATCTCTTCAGATCTCCTTGTTTCTAACCACATCTGGGTTCCAAGGATTGGCAGTACTTTGTCTCACTGAAGCCTTGATGCTTTAGTTGAGAAATCAAACTGGTCTGGGAAACTTGAATAGGGAACGTGTTCAGAAAATGTGACTTATGGATGGCATATCCTAAAACACCGAAGTTTGTTTTGTTTTGTTTCCTAAGCTTAAGCCCTTACTCCTCCAATGCAAGCTTTTGGTGTCGATTGGTATTTGTTTTCCACCTCAGTCCTGTGTTTTCCTATCAAAAGCACTTGATCTGAGCTGTTCATGGGTACAAAGTTTAGAAGCTAAAATGAGGCCACTAGAGTTGCATATTTTGATGTTTCCTCTTCCTAAATTGTTCAACTTATATTTGGGTTGCATTCATTTATAAATTAGTTGTTGCGGTGTGTAACACGTATTCCAGGGTACTTTCTTGCCAGGCCAGACCACTAATTCTACTTAATCCACTGTGTAGCTGAAATACACCTTAGTTACAATAACAAAAGAGCAGAAAACCGGGTTCTTACAGTCCTGCTAGCCCTACAAAACAGAAAACCATAACATCTGTTAGTTACTGGACTTTGGGACAAATAGGCTTTTATAAGCATAATGGTTCTTAGCCTTTTTTGGGGGGCCAGGGACTCCTTTAAGAATCGAGTGAGAGCAATGTGCCTACCCCCCAAATCTATAGATATACATACACTTTGAAATAGAATCTTGCAGTTTCTGGAAATTCATGTAATTTGAAATATCGTTCTTGAGCCCCAGGTGAAGGACAGCTGCATTGTAAGTGTGGCAGTAGTATGCTTTGGGGGCAGTTCTGAGAGAGGCTCAGCGATGCTGGGGAGTGTCGCTCCTCAGATGTGGGCCGGGGACCAACAGCAGCATTGTTACTTGGGAGCTTGTTAGAAATGCAGAATCTCAGCCCTGCCTCGGATCTAGATGCCCAGGTGATGGGCGTGCGTGTTAAGGTTGGGGTGAGCGCTGTGTCTGAGGTTGCTGATGTTGGTGTTTTATTGTATATTATTTTAGTTTAAAAGTTAAAGCTTTTTAAAGATGGGATATAACTATCTTTAGCTTTTACTTTGCAGCCTCTAACTGGTTTGGTTTTTTTTTAATGGGGGCGGGGTTTCCGATAAAGTAGCTATTTTCAGGAGTCAGCTGCGAATCAAAAGTGAGGAGGTTCATGTGGTGAGGAAGAGGCTTGGGAGCAGGCAGCTTCTCGCTCCAGCCACCAGGTGCCCAGGGCACATGGGCCGCCTTCCTGCACAGCCCGTGGGGGCGGTGCTGTACCCAGGAGCACTGGTGGTGGGCCCCTGTTGGTAGTTCTTGAGGTAAGTGTTTGTAACTCAAGAGTACATCTAATTAGGTTTGGGACCTGGTGCTGAAGCCAAATTCAGGATTTTCGACTTCTGTGTCAATGGCCACCGGCTAAAACTGTGACCAGGAACTGCCATGATCGCAGAACCAGTCATTTGGGATCATTATACCGCCTAATAAACAACGAATTTCACGACTTAGTGCTTATGTGCAAGAAAAACATGCTTTCCTTTAGATGGATATGTAATCTGAGTGGTGGTTGAGGCTGAATCCTATCTTGGAAGATGTGGTGTTGGCTGGAGGCTCGGTCACATCCTGAAGGAGATGGCGTTGACTTCAAAGTTCTGAAGGGGTACTGGCCTCGCAAGCTGTGTGTGCGTGATCTGCTGACAGAACACTGGTAATCCTGGTAAACCTAACCACGTGTGTGCTTTGTTCTCCAGTAGGTCCGCTTCCTCACTGCTTTGTCTTGAGGACAGAAGGATGCCGAAGAAAGCAAAGCCCACGGGGAAGGGGAAGGAAGAGGGATCTGTTCCCTGTAAGCAGCTGAAGATAGAGGCAACTGGTGGACCCTCTTCCGCTTTGAATTTTGAAAGCCCTGGTGATCTCTTTGAAAGTTTAATCTCGCCCATCAAGACAGAGACTTTTTTCAGGGAATTCTGGGAGAAGCAGCCCCTTCTCCTTCAGAGAGATGACCCTGCAGTGGCCACATATTACCAGTCCCTGTTCAGGCTGTCAGATCTGAAGAGTCTCTGCAGCCGGGGTATGTACTATGGAAGAGACGTAAATGTCTGCCGCTGTGTCAACGGGAAAAAGAAGGTTTTAAATAAAGATGGCAAGGTGCACTTCCTTCAGCTGAGGAAAGATTTTGACCAGAAAAGGGCAACAATTCAGTTTCACCAACCTCAGAGATTTAAGGTAACAGGTTCTCCCCATGACAGAATCATTTTATGGGTTAAAGTGCTAACATTTGGCCACAGGTCAGCCTAGGGATGAACCTGTGATGATTAGCGTCCTGCCAGTTTGAGAGGAGGTACCACCTGTTTGCTCTTTAAATGCATCCCAGGGGGCGCCTGGGTGGCTCAGTTGGTTAAGCGACTGCCTTCGGCTCAGGTCATGATCCTGGAGTCCCGCATCGGGCTCCCTGCTCAGCGGGGAGTCTGCTTCTCCCTCTGACCCTCTTCCCTCTCGTGCTCTCTGTCTCTCACTCTCTCTCAAATAAATAAATAAAATCTTTAAAAAAAATGCATCCCAGATTAGGAGATCCTGTGTTAATCTTTTGGCTAAACTGTTAGGATCACCCAACAACTCCGGGGGACATGATCATCACACTGCAGAAACTATATTGCAAGTTTATAAATTAACATTAAACCTCCAGGAGCATATTCTGTGGGGTGGTTTATGTTTTGGTGTATGGTAGACCTTTCTATTTGGTTTGTCCTGTCATTATAATTTAAGGCATGATAGTGTCAGGGTGATCATTTTCTTCTTGAAGTTGCTTCCCTTTACTACTTACATCGAGCTAAGTAGAGGCTTCAAAGCTGTGACCAGATCAAGTACCAGATGCGTGTTTAAGAGACTTTACCCTTATTAACAGACGCCAGGTAGCTTTGAGGGTGTGGGTCCTGGAACTACTCCCAGGGAGGCAGTCATGGGTGGAAGGTAACTTTGATTTCCAAGTCTGGGAGAGTGGCTCACTTTTTATTTATTCTATATCAGTGCTTAACATTCAAGAAATAATTAGCCTCCTCTCTGTTCAGTTTCTGCTTCATAAATGCAGTCTTAGCTAATCTGTTTTTGTAGAGGTTTGAGATATTTACATGACAGGTGGCCCAGAACAAATGAGGGTCTGTTCTCAGTTCAGAAATCCCCTTTCATGACCCATGGCTGAACCAAAATGGCAGCATGGGAGGAGGAGCAGGAGAGCGGTCCATGAGGTTCCATGGTGAGGATTCTGGCTGTGTGATGGCTCCTGGGACTTTGTCATCAGTTATCAGTAATGTTTCCTATGGCTGAACTCCGTTGCTTTGGTGGAGCCCATTGGCCAAATCTAGTGAATGCCTTTTCCTCTCGTCTAAAGGATCTTGAACCTATTTGTGCTCTGGATAAAGTTAGGTACTCTTAGATGTTTTGGTACAAGTCCTGACTCCAGATAGTCCATCTCATGCAGTCATAAGAAGTTGAAATGTTCCTGGAATGCCAACCTTTTGGCTCAAACACCCAAAAAGAATTATAAATAACTTGCCAGACCAAGTCATGATTTGAATTCAGGAAATATGGACACCATGGTCTTCTCTCTGAGCTAGTCCTTGACTCTTTTCTTGGCTAGAAGCAGCACTTTTTTTTTTTTTTTGAAGATTTTATTTATTTATTTGACAGAGAGAGAGATAGCGAGAGAGGGAACACAAGCAGGGGCAGTAGGAGAGGGAGAAGCAGGCTTCCCCATGGAGCGGGGAGCCCGATGCAGGACTCGATCCCAGGGCCCTGGGTTCAGGACCTGAGCCGAAGGCAGACGCTTAACGACTGAGCCACCCAGGCGCCCCAAAGCAGCACTTTTTAAAAAAGTGGGTTTTAGACACCTAATAACTATGAACATAAAAGGTCAATGAAGTTGATTATATGTAATTTGGTCACAAACCAGTAGAAAGTTATTATTTGGCATGTGTGTGGTGTCCTTAGCAGCTGTCATTTCTGTACTTTAGAATCATCCTGGGCTTTTCCCTGTTCATCTCTTAAGTCCTGCACATTTCTCCTCTCTGATTCCAGGTAGCCAAGACTGTATTTTCTTTGGCCAGGTTTACAAAGGTGGGAAGGATGAGCTTTCTTGGTCTAAACTCAGCTCCCCGGCTAGACCGGGACGCACCCTGCTTTTTCTCTTTCCACCACTTGAGAGACCTATAGGAGTTCACCCTCTTGCAGTGGATGCTGGGTTCTAAATAGTTTATTCTGAGGAGGTTTAGTGTTGTGTGTTTAGGAATGTGCATATTAATATCAGGATAGAAAAAGTCGAGAGGCAGTTCATCACTGGCTAGGTTGAGAGACAGAGTAGATAGTGCCTTGTTTACTGGGTTTTGGAATGTGCACAAGTTCTTATTCTAGTTGGTTGGGAAGTGAATAAGGAGGTAATCAGGGAACCCTAAGTTGTTCCCCACCTTCTTTGGATAATCCATATGTCAAAGGTCTAGGTGAGTTTACCAAATACACGTGTTCACTTTTGAACCTTCTTTTTTTATTATTTATTTATTTATTAGAGAGCACGAGCAGGGAGAGGGGTGGAGGAAGAGGGAGAAGCAGGCTCCCCACTGAGCAAGGAGCCGGATCCCAGGAGCCCAAGATCATGCCCCGAGCTGAAGTCAGACGCTTAACCTACTGAGCCACCCAGGCACCCCACTTTGGAACCTTCTAACAGACATTCAAAATAGGGCATTCATTGTGGTCTCTATTTTACATGTGAAAAAAACTGGAGTTCAGAGCTATGGACCTTTTCCATAGCTGCTAAGTAAGGACTTCTGACTCTAAATCTGAGGCATTTTCCTGCCATACTTTTAAAGATGTTAATTGAAATGTAGCAGGGCTTTGGCATGTTTGTTTTTGCCTTTCTTTAGGTGTTCCCATGGGCTTCTGGTCACAGAAGCAGTTGCATTCAGTTTTGATTCTTATGGGTAGGTCAGTGGAGAGAGGAGGTTGTACTCACCTAGGAAGAGGCTTCCACCTTCCCTTTTCACTGCTCTGGGGTCCTCGTTGGCATCTCCAGACATAGTTGGGAATCCTGACTTAAAGAAGACAGGTTTTAAGAGCCTTGTTTGTGCCTAAGTCAGTGTTGGTGAAGCAATAACACTTGTATACTGCCTTGCAATTTAAGTAAGTTTGCAGATAAGTTTTATCAGTCTTAGTGGGGGAGTCCTCATTTTACAAATAAAGACGCTAAAGTCATTTAGTTTGTAACTACAACTTGGATTGAGGTGGTTTGACTTCCTATCTCTTTCTACCAGGCTATACTTGGTAGATTCAGAAGCTAAATGTCCAGGAGAAATGGAAAAATTATGCAATTGATCGACCCAGATGCTTGAGCTGGGAACCATAAAGTCACCCATATGGTCCTGAGATGCCTCTCAGGCCATCACAAGTAGAAGCCCTGGTTTTCTAATGGTTCCAGTTACAGTATAGATGTAATTACAGAGCCAGGTCCTGCTGGCCCTTCCCTGGTGTAAATTAGGTGCTTTGGGAGCTCTCTTAACTCTTTGGAGCTATTCAGAAGCCATTAAATTATTCTTCCTCTGTTAAGTAGAACCCTTGATCTATAAATAGAGTAGCCCAGTCGTCTTCCTAAAGATGTCTCCCAAAGCTTTTTTCATACTGACCTAATTCTTTCCCACTTGATATTTTTAATACTGTAGATCCTTTTTCAGTCAAATGGTATGATTGACTCTCAAGCTGTGGTCATTGGTTGACTCACCAAATTTTTAAAAATACATTTGAATATCTTTTGTGTGCCAGGCACTGTACATTCATATACTTGAGACTGAATGTCTTTAATATCCGTTAGTGTCCTCATAGGTGATTGTGTTTTCTTTAAGATGATTCCTGAAGAGGCAGTACAGGGCCCGGGCTAAACGGCGCAGGCCGGGCTGCCTGGATTTCAGTGCTGGCTCCGTCATGTATTAGCCGTGTATTCTCATGGTTCGGTTTCCTCAGCTTGGAACCGGACATTATGGTATTGTTCCCCTTATGAGACAGGGGTGTTGGGAGGGTTATAGAACCAGTATATGTAAAGCACTTAGAGACAGGGCCTGGCGGAGAAGAAGTGCTAATATCTGCCTGGCCTAATTGCTACCTCCCCTCTCCTTATCCGCTTGGGAAAATCAGCATTCATATTCTCTGTCTCTCTCTCTCTCTCATGAACTACTGTAGAACTCTCTCTGCACACACACCCCCACCCCCATCCCTGCAAAAAAAAAAAAAAAAAAAAAAAACCTTGTTCTTTCCCACTTTAGTAGGGTGAACCAGGCACTAAGTAATTGCCCAGCCAAAGCCAGGAGGCTTTTAATCCCCTTCCCCTTCCAGCACCCCATTGTACTTGGTCCCTCACAGCCCGTGCTGCTTCCAGGGTGCATCTCTGCCTCCCCTTCTCCCCCACCACCCTGCTCATCTCCCGCCTGGGCTGCTGCCTTAGTAGCTTCCCAACTGATGTCTCTTGCTTTTCTCCAGGCCACTCTCCACACAGTAACCAGAGTGAGCTATAAAAAATGTACATTAGATTGTGTCATTGCCCTGCTTAAAATCCTGCATGACTCCTGATTGCCTGCCTTGCCAATTTCTCGGTTTTCTGTAGTGTTCTGCACTAGGATGGAAGATTCTTGAGGGCAGAGGTGTTGGCTCTTTAACTGCTGAATTCTCAGGTACCTGGAACATAAGAGCTGTGCAGTAAAGACTGGCTAAGTGAATAAGAGCATGTTCTTCTTCTTGTTTCTGACATTTTTCACCTCTTCTCCCACCTTCCTTCCTTCCTTTCTTTTTAAGGATGAGCTTTGGAGGATCCAGGAGAAGCTAGAATGCTACTTTGGCTCCTTGGTTGGCTCGAATGTATACATAACCCCTGCAGGATCCCAGGGCCTCCCACCCCATTATGACGATGTGGAGGTAAGAGGAAGAACATTGTTCTGCTCGGGTAAGGAGTCACTGCGAGCCTGGGTTAGATGTTAGCCTAGGGTTCAGTTCAGCTCCCTGCGCTTCTTGCCGTGTGGTCCCGCAGATCTTGACCTCACCTAGATGTTGGGTCAGGTGAATCCTGCCAAACTGGTTTCCTGCTCATTCTCAAAGGGGAGAGATGGTTTCTAACTTTACTAATATAAAGAGCTACACATTCTTATGAAACAGGTATTTATTGAATTTGTCTACAGAAAAGTGTGATTTGCTTTTTCTCTAATTTCACAATGTATGAGTTTTAGTAAAGTGAGGTCACAAGTAATCCTTACATCTGCTTTCATTTCGTCCTTTTTTTGGAGCTGCCAAAAATAGATAATTTTTTCCATTTGTGAAAATCTTGGGGCAGCCTGAATGAAGGTCATGGTCTCACTTAGGCACTGGCACCTTGACAAGTGTTGATTCACTCTCACGTGGCTGCCAAACAAGTTAATTCTCTGGCGTGGGTAGTCTGTCATTTTCTTTTTATGCTAATGCAAGATTATGAACACAGAGTTATTAGTAAAAAGCCCCTTTGAAAGCAATTTCATACCAATACATTTCCCAAATTTTTTGTTTTTGCTGTTATAATATTTTAAACAGAGCTTTAAAATATCTTTGGCTGAATGAAGAATAAAGAACTTGAAGTTTTCCTGTCTGCCAAGGATAATACTCAGGATTTTACACCCTGAGGAATATCTGAAACTTGGCTTTTCCATCAGAGATTATGGGCTCTCAGCTGTCTGATAGAAGATTTAAAGGCAGGAGATGTGGGGATATAAAGAACCCAGTGAGGCTTTATTACCATAAAGAGAATGAATATCCTTCCAGTATCAGGGTTCATGATTACCTGTTTTTAAAAGTAAAAACCAGCAGTGGCAACTTTTAAGTATAGAGTGAAATGCCTCACTAATCTCTCATTTTTATTTTTTATCTGAAATTTGTAATCCATCTAAGGCTTTGCCGGGCTAATCCTCTGGCAGCCCTGGGCCTCTGAGTTGTCGGGAAGCTCGCTGACACTCCTGGGCCCTGTGGCTTCCGTAGGTCTTCATCCTGCAGCTGGAAGGAGAGAAACACTGGCGTCTCTACCACCCCACTGTGCCCCTGGCCCGGGAGTACCGCGTGGAGTCTGAGGGCAGGATTGGGACACCGGCGCTCGAGTTCACACTGAAGGTACGGGACTTCCGTCACGGCCGCTGCTCCTGGCGCAGGGTCCAGTCTGGGGTTTGGTGTGTGTGCGGGGCTCCCCGTGGGAGAAAATGCAAGAGCGTGGGCTCGGGCTGGCTCTCACTCGCTAGCACGTGCAGCTTCCAAAGGAGACTTGGTGTTTGTACTGTAGAACTGAGCTGAGGAAACATTAAGTTCATTTTCCAAACAAGCTGTCTCCAAATGTAATCCAAGTTCAACAGAAATGGATTGTGATTCTGTTGACCACTGACTTCTCTAGAGTAGAAGTGGAAAGTTTGGCCTTGGGCAGCTTCACCAAATCTAAGCCAGCCATTAGGACCGGGCTGTAGCTTGCCTAGGCAGAGCACAGTTAGGGACCTCTTAGTTTTTCTGTTGGGAAAATTCTAGCATGACCCACTTTCCTCCTGACTGTACAATAGACTTTCTCTGCACTCCCCTTCCTTACCCCTGTGTATAGTCACCAAAAGAATAGTAATCATCTTTTGTATATAGTAATTAAGGGCTCTTCCTCCAGGAAGCCAGCTGGCTTGAGCATGGTGACTGGTTGGCTGGCCTCTTGCTATAGAGAGTCTGTCTTTAAGCAGTTAGCCTGGATGCGACCACAGCCAATCCCTAGCAGGTGAGATTGCTGAGAAAAAAATCATAGAGGGATAAGAATAGGTCCATAATTCACCTTTATATGTTGAATTAAGAAATAGCAGCTCAAATCATTCTAAAAATTCTACCAACCGGATATACTTGCACATAGTTATTTTTGTGTTTCTTGTGTCTTGAACTTAATAATTAGTTATAATTACTCAATACTTTATGGCCCTTTCCTGATTTTAAAGACTTTGCCTGCTTGCCTATGACTGGGAGAAACAATCTCCCTTTTTACGATGTGTATTTATATTACAGGGGATTTAAATATATACAATAAATGTACCCTTCATTTTTTTTTTTAAGTTCTTGGTCAGCGGTCAGCAAACTATGACCCATGGGCCAAAAGTATGCCCTGCTACCTGTTTTGGTAAATCAGGTTTAGTGGAACACAGCCACATCCATTCCTTTTTTGCTGTCTAGGGCTGCGTTCACATCACATCCGCAGAGTTGGCTGGTTGCCACAGAGACCACGTGACCCGCGAGCCACAATTATTTACTGTGGAGCCCTTCACGGAAAGAGTTCACCAACCCTTACTCTTGGTGAAGCATGTTTAATAGTCTCTTGGTTGATTGTTTTTAGGCCAAAGACTAAGCTATCCATGGTCTGTCTCTGAGGCCAGGGCTGAGTTACCTAGCCTGACAACTGGCTACTTGCCATGCCCAAGAACGTCGATCTTCCTAGTGGTCTTCAGGTGTAGGTGGTGTGGGTTCTGCGAGGTGGTGCCGGGAGACTGGGAGGAGATGGGATGATACCCATTAATCACACCCATCCTATCTCAGTTCATTAAGAGCAGCCCTGAGTCTCCTGGGAGGAGAAAGACAAGCATTGTGTACCGTGGGTTTTTTTCCAAGTTGCACATCTGTATACTTGTGGGTTTTAAATTGGTGAAGCTCTTCAAATGAAATCTTGTGTAAATGCCCAGTGTATGAAACAGAAAAGCTGAGTCACTCTGGGTGGGGTAGGCATAAAGGCCACAGTCAGGGTCACCAAACCCGAGGTCTTGGGATGAAGATCCCTCCTGCAGTGGGAACACCACTCTGGTTTGGGGATCTGACACACCTGGGTTTAAATTGAGCTGCTGTCCCTTAAGAGCTGTGCATTCTTGGGCAAGTTATTTATCTCAGTCTCAGTTTCTCCTTTACTGCAAAGGAGATCATAATATTTACCCTGTAGTTTGTAAGAATTGAAAAATATGTTTTTGATGCCTCCTTTGCAATGAAACTCCTTGGAAGAGATGGCTCTATGTCAATATATTTATTGCTGCTTATCAAATTCCCACAAATTCAGTGGCTTAAAACAACACAGATTTATTAACTTATAGTTCTGCAGTTCAGCAGTCCAAAAGGGATTTGGTTTCACTTGGCTGAAATCAGGTGTTGGCAAGACTGAGTTCCTTCCAGGGGCTCTAGGGGAAAATCCATTTCCATGCTTTTTCCAGCTTCCAGAGGCCTCCTGCATTCCTTGGCTCACGGCCCTTCCTCCATCTGCCAAGCCAGCAACGTAGAGCCTAGTCTTTCTCCCGCTGCCATCTCTGTGGTTCTCTCTTGCTGTACCCTCTTCCACTTTTAAGGATCCTTGTAATTACATTGTCCCTGCCTGGATAATCCGGAATAATTTCCCTGTCAGTGCCTTAATTGGCCTTGTCCGTGTGCCCTAAATATTTATAGGTGCCCGGGGTTAGGACGTAGACGTCTTCGGGGACCCAGTCACCGGTCTTCTCTCCTGCTCTTGGGCACTCCTCCCCACAGGATTTCCTCCCCACCATTCCTCCAGAACCATTCTCCCCAAGGTTACCGGGCAATCCATGTTGTCAAGTACAGTGCTTACCTTCAAGTCCGCATCTCAGCAGCCCCCTGTCAGCCTCGTTGGACACAGTGGATCACTCCTACCTTCTGCCCTGGGCTTCCAGGACGCCTCCCTCTCTTCTCTTTCCCACCTACTGGCTGTTCTTCCTCATCCTCCTTTGCTGTTTTGTCCTCAGTCTTTGTGTCTCTGAAAGTTAGGGGTCAGGGATTATTTCCTGGACCTCTTTCCTCAATCCACACCCACTCCCATGGTTTTAAATTTCCTCTAGACTGGCCTACTTTCAGTGCTGTGTTCAGTCTCTAGCCCACATCTCTAAACTCTAGACTTATATCCCGCTGTCTATTTAATGTCTCCGCTAAAAGGATAAAAGGTATTGCCAATTTAATATTCTGCAAAGCAAAGTCCCATTACCCACCCTGTCTCCAGCCTCCTTCCCTGTAAATGCCTCACCATTTTCCTGTTTGTTCAGGACAAAACCCTTGGATATGGATCTATACAAAAGCCTCCTTTTGGTATCCCCATCGCAGACTTTTCTGACGTAATGATCATAATGATCCTTTTGCGATCCTTTGAACCCTTTGCCCAGACCTCCAGTGGTCTTCTTTTAAATCCAAAATAAAAGCCAAAGTCCTTAAAACAGCCCAGAAGGTCCTGGAATCTGGCCCCTCTGCTGCCTTCTCACTTCATCTCCATCATTTCCACCCTCACTACTCTCCTGCCACATTGACCAATGCTTTTCAAAGGTGCCAAGCACATTTTCAACCTCAGGACCTCTGTACTGCTCTTCCCTCTGCCTGGAATTCTTTCTGCCCAGGTAGTCCCGTGGCTGGCTTGCTCATTCCCTAAAGTCTTAACTGAAATGTCCTAGTGGAGTGAGGTTTCAGTGCCCATCCTGGATAAAAATGGCACCTCTTAACCGAGGCACACCCTGCCCGCCACATCCCCATATGCATCATTCCTCTCCTTCTGCTTCTTTTGCTTTCACTGCATTTACCACCACTTGACCTTATTTATTTACTGCTTTATTTTATCTGCCTTGCTCCAATAGAATGTTTTTATGGTATCCGTTGTCTTTTCTTTCTTCTCAAATGTTTGCTCTTTGTCTCAAATGAACTACAAAAGGGCAGACCTTGTTTTGTTCAATGCTCTATCCCCAGTGCCGACCTAGCATGGTGCCTGGCGTGGGAGGAGGATGGAGATTGGTTAATTAAATGTTTGTGGTATGAATAAATGAATGAATGAAGTTCTCATTCAGAGGGATGGCTCAGAGACACTCAGCAAGTGATAGCTATAATTGTGAATAAAGCATTTGCTTGAGGTAGTAATTTCCCTGTCAGTTTGGTGTCATTCAGGGTGAATGAGCCACCAGAATCGTTCTTATGAATATATTTAATTGTATATTGTTTCTTGCTTTAAGGAAAATCTCAACATTGAGAAAAGGTTGGGTTTTTTTTGTTTGTTTAATCTACTTTTTTTTTTTTAAAGATTTTATTTATTTATTTGAGAGAGAGAGAGAGAATGAGAGATAGAGAGCACAAGAGGGAAGAGGGTCAGAGGGAGAAGCAGACTCCCCGCTGAGCAGGGAGCCCGATGCGGGACTCGATCCCGGGACTCCAGGATCATGACCTGAGCCAAAGGCAGTCGCTTAACCAACTGAGCCACCCAGGCGCCCACTGCTACTTCTTGAGCTGCCCCTCGAGGGCCCACCCTCTTAACCAGTGATCCAGACTGCTTCTCGTGGTTGCAGTTTTTTGGGTTTTTCATCTGGGTGGGATTAGGGAGGATGTAGCTTCAGGAATGATTTACGAAGGATACTTCCGTCCCCTGGCTTGGGCGAGACCTGGAACAGGGTAGAGGAGGTTTATCTGTGCAAGAGAATGACTGATCTCCAGTTACATCTAGTTTTTAGGTTCAAGTGAAGGGTTAAATGGTTTTTCATCTGTTCATCCAAACATTCATTGAGCCTCTGTTGTACACCTGATGCCTTGGTAGTTTAGGCTCTGGGGAGTACATGATGGACCTTGACCCTGCCTGGAAGAGCTCACCAACCTGCTGGTGGAAGGGGGGGGAGGAGGGGGAGGTAGAAGAGTAATTATAGTACAACCACGTGCCCGTCACGGCTCCAAGAGCTCTGGAGATGGCATCTCCTTTAATCGTGAAAGTAAGTCTGAATTTTGGGCCATTTGCCTCCGTTTTAGCAGTGAAAGAACTGAGGTTTCGTGGGGGGGTTCAGTAATTTCCTGGGGTCATTAGCCAGTAAGTGGCAACATCTATTTGACTCTAAAGCTCCTATTGTTCACCACTGCCCCATTTGCAGGGTGGAGAGGGAGGGTGCAGGCTCCCCAGGGTGTCACCTAGATAGGGGCGGGACAGTTTCAGGGGCACCTGCTCTCAGCTTGTGAATAAAGAAAATGACTTCAGGTACTAAAACCCTCTCCAGGATTGGGGTTCACAGTGACAGGCTCACAGGCATGGTGAAGCTAGACTAGTGGGACCCCAGGAGCCCAGCATACAGACCACCTCAGGAATCATGAAGTAGAACGTTTCTAGGATGGAAAACTGAAACGCAGAGCCTATTTTTGTCTCTTTAAGACATAGAGGACTGAGAAGACATCCTCCTTATTAACTCCCTTCTCCCATTTTTTTTCCTTTCTTTAGCCGGGTGATTTCCTGTACTTTCCCAGAGGGACCATTCATCAAGCGGACACTCCTCCAGGGCTGGCCCACTCTACTCACGTGACCATCAGCACCTACCAGAACAAGTAAACACTCTCCTCCCAGCCTTGCATCCCAGTGAAGCTCAAGCTGTGTCCCATGGCAACCGCTTGCAGAAGGGAATGAGGGAGTTGGCCTGCTGTCCTGCTTATGCAACCTCAGGGGTTTCATTCAGGCGCCCTTGCTAACTTCTGATTCCTTTAGAGTCCCATCCATGCCATTGGCCCATCTGGGGTTCCTCCTGCGAACGTCATGAACCAGACTGTATAGAAAATGGGAGTTGCCCGGTGAGGGCTCCATAGTTTGGGAAGAAAGAACCACAGCTGTGGCGGTGTGTTAGTGATGCCCGGCTGGACTTGCAGTCTCTCTCTTTTTAACATTTTTTTATTGCAGTAAAATATTTATAACATAGAATATGCCACCTTAACCATTTTTAACTGTACAATTTGGTGACATTAAGTATGTTCACACTATTGTGCAACCGTCACCACTGTTTCCAACACACTTTCGTCACCCCGCACAGAAACCGTGTCCATTGAAACATCCGGATCTCTTGTAAGGTTTCCACTGTTCATACAAGTTCATGAAATTGAGTAGGAAAGGAAGTCTGAAACAGTGAGACCTAAAAGCACATGTGCTGAAAACAGTTCTGATTAAAACTGTGTTCCATTTCGGTGCGTGGCGCCTCCCAGGCCCTGGGCGGCAGCGGCCTCCCTGTGGGTCCCTAACAACGGCGACCTTGCTAGCCCCGGGCGCGTTCACACTGCCAGCTGTCAATGCCCGGCAGCTTGCAGGCACCAGAGCCTGTGCAGTGGCTGGGAATGTGGGCCTGGCACTGAACTTGCACCCTGGAGGTGTTGGTAGGAGGAGAGACGGATCGGGAAATAGCAGTGGGATAACTTCCATCGTGGGTTTCTAGAGGAGACTCTTGAGGAGCGCAGAGGAATGCACTGAGCCAACCTGGGGCGTCAGGGAAGGCTTCAGAAATGACTTGACACCCAGGCTGAGTGAGTCTTAAAGGGTGAGTAAGCAGAGTGGGTCAGACGGTCAGAGTAGGAGAGGCATTCTAGCCCCAGTGGACAGCAGGGCCCCTCCTACATTCAAAGCCATAACTTGCAAAACAAGTTGGTAAGCATGACTTCTGCTTCCTCATCTGGCGTTTCTGGGTGAAATGAGCCCCTGTGTTTAAGAGGCTGACCTTAAAACTGAAACTCAGTTTTAGAGGAACTAGCTGGAGCCTGGCCTACAGTTAGGGTAGTCTTTGCCCACAAGCAGACCAGAGCTTGTATTCTTCCTTTATGAAAAATGCTCTTCTCACGGTGGCTAGGCAGATTCCTCGCATAGCCACAGGGAGGCTGGAACCAGAAGTTCCCCGTGGGTGCCGAGCAGCTCTGGGCCTTGGCAGCCAGTTTGGCCCCATGGGTGTCCATGTAGCTTCTGGTATCCTGCCATTAATGTGACTCAGCTATTTCCCCTTCCTGAGATTCTCTGTCTTTTGCGTTCACTTAATGCTCCCAACTGGTTTTCTAGTAATTGGTTTTTCATGCACTTATTTTCCTTCCTCACCTTCTGTTTACTCATAACATTGACTCATCTATAAGACGTCATCAGTTACTTGTCTGACCTCCCTTTATCTCACTAGACCTAATAGCTTCTACTTCTGCTAATCTCTTTCCCAATCCCAAGAGTGAAGATCTGGTGGGCTGCCCCTGGGTCCTACCCATGCCTTCTCTGTTCAGCTGGAGAGGTGGACGGGCGCCATGATTGAGGAGTCTCAGGTCAGACTCTGACCTGTGCCCTTATCTGTGGTGCTGGAGCTAGAAGGGGACAAATTGGAACTCAGGAACCATTGCTCCCCAGAGATGTCCCCGTGCCGTGGGCCTGGTACCCCTGAAGGCCCTGGCACGGTGAGGATTTGGGGCCTTTTCCTGACACCTCCCAAGGGGACGTTGTTGGGAACGTCTGGGATCTGGGTGTGGGACAGCAGCAGGTTGATTTGGCTGTTTTACCAAAGTGAACCCCTCAAGAGATACTAATCTCAAATTTTGGTCCAAGATCCATTCTGACTCTAACCAGAACACAGAGGTCGGTTTAACTGCAATGCCATCTCTCCGTGAGCTACTGCCGCACAATTTCACCCATGACCCTGCAAAAGAAGAGCTTATTTTTGTGCTGGTAAAAGAGCTCCAGGAGAAGGTTCATTCAATCAGATGTGAGGTTGGGTGTAACATTAAGTTGCAAAGTGTGAGGACACCAAATGGTAGACGTCTTAGGGAAAGTGTCGCTGATGTGACTTTTGTCTTTGGATGCTTTTTCAGAAGGGAAGCATAAAAGTGTTAATTTTGCTTACTGAGTGAGCAAAAGTCATACTGTGAATTCCCATTTTTGCACATAGCCAGCAATTTGAAATCTGCTGGTGACACTGAGGGAAAATTTTAAACAGAAATAAAGAGAGCAACCCCACAGAGCGTTTCTTACAATGGCACACATTTAGGAGCGAGCCAATTGTAAATGCCCCAAAGTACAGGTAATTGAACACTGATGCTCATCCCTAGACGTTATTTTTGGCCACTGGATTCCACCCTTCTAAGCATTGCTAGAGTTTTAAGTTGCAAATTGATTGTTCTGAAATTGTTGATGTTGGATATTTCACTGAGGAAGAGTGCCCCTCTTTTATAAGGGAAAAAGGAAAATGTGTTACAGTTCAGATAATTACACAGTCCAGGGATTTTACTGTTACCCTAAATGTATTTCTTTCTGAATTTTTGAACATAAACTATTTTTTAGGTCCTATGATTATTAAAATTTCCTACAGAGCTCCTCTCATAGACACTTGTGTTACAATTGAAAACATTAAAAATAAGTTGGGCCCTTGAACTTCCCACTTTACACCTGTATAGGATTGTGTGATATCTTTTAAAGTCGTGAATAAAGCCTAGCGTCCTACCTTTTACCTTTCCACGTGAGTGTTTGGGAAAGGGGAGGGGAGAAGCAGTGTGATTGATGAAGGCCTTCAAGTTTTTTTGTGCTGAGTAATGTCACATTAATGGAACGCACAATGCCTGGGGAGTTGGAATGTAGTTTGTAGCTTCGGGATTTACTAAGTAATCAGTGGTCTATGTAGATTCTGTGGGTGTTCACGATTTTCTTTCTTGGTGCATGTTCCAGTTCGTGGGGAGATTTCCTTTTGGACACTATTTCGGGGCTTGTATTTGACACTGCAAAGGAAGATCTGGAGTTCCGGGCTGGCATACCCCGGCAGCTGCTCCTGGTAAGGAGTCAAGGCTTGGGGGTCCGGGGGGGGGGGCGGGGACAGTGGCAGCCCAAACCAGCGGAAGCTGTGGCCTGCCTCCTAGGCACCCCAGGATCCTTCTTCCCGCCAGAGTCAAGCCCAGCTCCTGGGCTGCGTGCAGTGCTGCACGCTTTGCAGGGGAACGTGGTGCTGCACGGTCCATGGGCCCTGAAGAACTGAGGCTGTTGCGCAGGCAGCCCCTTTCCGCACAGCGAAGGCAGGGTGGGAACGCTGGCTGAGGAAGTGGCTGAATCAGGCACGTGGCCCGGAGAGCCGCAGATTCGGCCACAGGCTTACGCAGGAGAGACCCGCTGGAGATGCTGGCTGGTTATGCTCTGCGTACTGCTCTGGACACCAGGACCTGCGCGGGAAGTCCTGCTGGAGTTCGGGCCAGGACTCACTTCGGGGTTTCCAGCAGGTGGACGCCACGGCTGTTGCGACAAGAAGGTTAAGTGGCTTTCTGAGGACCCTTGCCGACCGGCTGGAGGGCACCAAAGAGCTGCTTTCAGCTGACATGAAGAAGGATTTTGTTATGAACAGACTCCCCCCTTACTATATGGGAGACCAAGCCGAGCTTTCAACGCCAGGTGGGATATTTTGAAGCTTTCCTGGATGGGCTCCTCTTTGTGCAGATGGAAAGAAAGAAGCATTTTAGAATTAAGGTGGACCTAGATCTATCTTTAGCATGTTATGTTTGGATGAGACATGCTGTAGCTTTAGGGATCCTGCATCTCGCAAGTCTTTTGCAAAGAACTTGTGTCCCAGCTTGATGGGGAGAAAGAACCTTGTGATTGTGGGTGAGAACTATGTATATTTATGGGCACTCTGGTATTCTCCATCTTCAGGAAGTTCTAAGAACTTGAACACTGAAGTAATTCAACAAGATTAACTCAGGGATGGGTTAAAATGTTGCCATCAGCAGGTGAAATGTAAGAATGCCCAGGGTCGTCACTAACCTGCCCCGAGTCCCAAGTGACTATTCTGTGACTGGTTTAGGCTGCAAATGACCTAACACTTGGATAGATGGTGATAGCAGACAATCAGTACAACACTCCTGCAGTGGGACAAATGAATTTAGGACTTGTTGCAACAGGGAAGACCACACACTGCTGGGAGTTGTGGGGCATCTCAGTAAAAGAGCGTTGGAAGGATTCAGGCTTGAGTTACGTGATTTTTCAGGAAGGTTAAGAAAGCAGGGCTTTGTTCTGGGATGGACGGTGTCAGAAAATAAGGGGTGTGATTGGGACTCCTGTAGGCAGAAGTGAAAGGCTGAGGTTGCAATTAGTAAGGCAGGGGCCGACTCTCAAATCAGCAGGATAGGGACGTTTGGTCATTTTTGAGGTTTGGATAGTGTTCTGGCTTTTGCCTGAGTTCTGACACGCTGTTGGAGTGGTCTTGTTTTTGCCTTGCCCTCTCACAGGGTGGCCTGGTTGAATGTTGGTGTTCTGTGGAATCGTCTGTGTTCAACAGGAGAACACCGAGCCACGGCCTTGGTGCCAGGCCAGCTCTCCGGCTGCCTTTCTCCTTCTCTGTAGGGTTGAGAGGACTATTTTTACTAACGTTTATAAAAGCCTTCTTTCTCATGGTTGAGACCCACTGAAATAAGACAATCTATAAGGTTGCCTTTAACATTGATTCCACTTACAATTTTAGTATCATCTTTGGGGGAAGTTTGGAACTTGTTTTTGCACCTATTCAAAATAGCAAATTTTTACCAGCATGTATTTCAGTCTTTAGTGGAACAGTTTTCAGAGTATCCGCTTATGGCACAGGATATCTTTTCCTGAACTCTTGTTTTAGCCATTAGAGTCCGTAACGCCACGTTCCCTCAAGACTTTTTCTTCAACCAGATGACACTGTAAGGCCAGTCTCTTTTTAGTGGCTACTTTTTTACGAAGTTAAATCCAACTTGGAAAAGACTTTTTTTTTTCTGTGAGCTTTATTAGGTGGCTTTCATTACACTACACTTGACCTACATGGATGCAGTTGCTGGGATTACACAGCTAGTCGTTGGTGAGGTGGTGCGGTTTGAACTCAGGTAGTCCGTACTGGGCTCCACCCGTAGAGCAGGCGGCAGGTGGAGGCTGGAACCTGGGAAGCCAGTGTTGTGTGCAGGACGCACGGTGGCGCTGTCTGTTGGGGCATGGTTTAGATCTATCAGATGTACCTACCAGCATCTATTGTTATGTTACACGTCTACACTGTTAAGAATGAGCTCCGTAAGGATGTAAAAACTATACTTCAGTATCATTATAAATATGGGGTAAGTCAGTACTTGAGTTGGAGGGCATCCCACATTTGGATTCACTGCACACAAGTCTGAGCCTGGGGTTCCTCTAGTGAAGGCTGGCTTTCTCTCTCTGGGTCTTCTAGGTGGACGGTTACCAAGGTTGGACAGCACAGTGAGACTGCAGTTTAAAGACCACACCATCTTCACAGTAGGGCCGGATCAGGATCAATCTGTGAGTATCCAGAGGGGAGGAGGTTTCTTCTCCTCTCAGGACATTTCCATCACAGGCCTCAGGTTATCAAACTAACAGATGGCCCCTACCTTTCCAAACCCTTTGGGCATCCATCTGTTCTCCTTAGTGCCCTGACTTTACCTCAGAGGGTGTGTCCAGATCTCACTATGCCAAAGATGCCTGCCTATTGGGTATTTGAGGCTTGCCCTCCCCACAGATCCCTCCATTTCCCTCAGGTGGTGATGGATGCCTCGTCTCTGCCTCCTGGTTCAGGCCATACTGCTCTTGCTCACACACCTCCCTCATGCACTCTCCCATCCTGTACCTTGCCCAGTTGGTCATTATATATGGTTTTGTTGATGTTCTTCTAGATGGAGAAGAAAATTTATATAACCTTGCCACCTGGCCCCATGGTTCCTAAAACTGGCTTACTGATCCTACACTCAACTGGAAAACTTTTAGAAATTATAAATTCCCAGGCTTCACTTGGTCTGGGTTAGAGCTTCTGTATTTATTACCCAAGCTCCCTGTACAATCCTAAGGACCTTGGGAACTATTCCATGCCCTATGGTTTCACCTTCTTCCTCCTAGTCAGCTATCTTGGGAGGTGCTCCATGAATGATTAGAGGGGCTGTGAGTCGGGGGCAGCTAGATGTGTCCATAACCAGACTGTCACAGCCATCGGGGCCAGACCTGGGGAGGACTGGTTTATAATATACGTAGAAAACCTCAAAAGTACGCACTCTCTTGTAGTCCTCAAAAAAAAAAAAAAAAAAAAACCCTAGTAACCCTTATCTAAGAGGTGACAAGGACTGAGGTTCTGGTCACTGTGTAGGATGGATGGACAGGGAAGTAGACTATTTGAGAGGCTACTGTAATTAGAAGTTTTTATAGATCCCACAGCTGGTATTTCTCAAGAAGTAATATTCACTCCATGGTGTTCACAAATTGCCAGCTTATAACTGGGAATGTCATATACAGATATAAAAAAAACGGTGCTGGCTGGATTAAATGAAACTTGAATGTTTCATTGATAAGTTGATAGGTAAGTGGTTGCTTTTTCATTAAGCTACGTTTCTGATGATGCCATATGAGCTACACTGTTTTATCTTTAAAAAAAAAAGCGTGCCTATTTGCTATATACAAATAGTAATCTGAGGAATATAGTTTGTGTATTACATATCCTAACTTTGTGCCAAAAAGATTCTTGGTGTTAAATTTTGTTATTGGAGAACCTCCTTGTATTGACCTCCTCAATATTGTGTTGACAGCGTAACTCTTATCTTTTTTTAAGGATGAAACTCAGGAAAAGATGGTTTACATCTATCATTCCTTAAAGAATAGGAGAGAGACACACATGATGGGAAATGACGAAACAGAGGTTTGTTCCAACCTAAAATATCTTTTGTGATTTGGTGATGGCTGGGAAGAATGTGTTACCTTTGATTTATGGGTGATGTGCTTTCTTATGACTGCAGCGTGGGCTTAACATTTCACACAATTGACAGAGCCCTTGCACAGGGATGATTAAGTCAGACAGTTCTGTGATATACGTACACATATACCAGCTTTTAAAAGATACGAGCTGGGACCCTGTAGCCTTGTAGGAAATGTGTAATATCATAAATATGAAGCATTTCAAACGGCTAATTTCTTAGGATATAAAGTAGACCTTTCGTGAAGTCTAAGTTTTTATATGGGAATTGGGAAATTCTATACGTTACCTAGTTGTAAGGCTATCAGAAATACTGAACTATACAAGTTATGAAAATACCACTTTAAGATTTTTTATCTGACTAGTTTATCCTTTTCCAGTCCCATGGACTTCGCTTTCCTTTATCACATATGGATGCACTGAAGCAAATTTGGGGTCACTCAGCTATTTCTGTCAAGGACCTGAAACTGACTACAGATGAGGAAAAGGAAAACCTGGTGTTATCCCTCTGGACAGAATGCCTAATCCAGGTAGTCTAGGGCCTTTCCAGAATCAAGGGTGCACCGTCTCAGAGACACACGCGCAAAGAAGAGCAACGATGTATGTGCTGCTTCTGTCGATTGGGAAGGGCCCTACAACAGCCTTCCTTACCTGTCATGGAAGAAGGGGGTCTCAGAAAGTAACCAAACTGTACTTTGGACAAACTCATTTAATCCAGTGTGGTAGAAAAGGCACAACTCCAATAAATGTATCATTGACATTTAAAGGTCGCTACCTGGCTTTGTCTTTGTTCTTTGGAAGAAACAACTTCTTTAAAGAGCCTTATTGGCTCTACAAAAATCTTTTAAACAATTAACACAAAAAAATTTAAATTGTTTTTTTTACAATGAAAATATACATACCTCCGTGTATACACAACCCCCTCCCCCCGTTAAAATAAAGTTACCCCGGTAACATAAGTTTCATTAAATACTGCCACACTAATGAGAGGCGCTCCCATATATGGGCATACACACGTTTTACAGCTGCTGCTTCAGAGATGACAAAGAGCCTGAGATTGAAGGGAAAAAAATCAGTATTTACATGGAAAGACCAAGTCTCTATAAAAAAATGCTCAAAATATTGGGTCTTTGTGTTTAAACAATTGACTTATTTTACATTCTAAAGTGCGTATAGGTTGATATTCAAAAATATCACTGGAGTATTTAATCCTTCTATATAAAAATAGAGCAGTGTTCTGCTTTCTGGTAAAAGTTTGTGACGAAGGGAACAGTTGTCTCAAGTTTAAAACCAACTCAGGAGGGAAAAATACTTAAGAATTGTATAATTTTTAAAGGTGGTAATGATTACCTGATATCCTACCTGATTTTGCTTAAAAATGGAAATAAAAACTGAGTTTTCAGTCATTTCACTAAGTAAAATGGTAGAGTCAGAAAGGCTCAAATACTACTTGGTTTTAACTTAAACATTTGAAATTTCCCTTTACTTCAGGCAGACAAAGAAAAATTTGACTAAACAACTCTTTGAGGGCAGATCAGGCAAAATCTAGGGTGAGGTCTCAGCACCAGGACAGGTGACCACCGATTATAGAGTCTTGTCACCCGGGAAAGAGGATGGTCACAAGTTATTTGTGCTTTTTTAGTTTGGCCACAGAAAATACGCCAATACTCGAGCCTCTTTCCTAAACAAAGCCAAGGTCCTTTCCTGGGGTCAGTTATAAGTATGAATACTTACGATGCTTCAGTTATAAAAACCTCAGTAGAAAAGACCCTTTAAGGCTTATCTAATACAGCAGCTTAATAGGAAGGTTTATTAAATATGTTTTCAGGCATTGCTAAAAAAAAATTCTCTTCTTGCAAAAGGATGACTTGGCCTAAAGGAATTTGTTTCCCTGTGCTTCGCACTCCCACACCCGTCTCCTAGGATATTAACAGCTAATACAGGCTGACACAGTCACCGAGGTCCTACAGTGGCTTTCAGGAGTAGGACTTGTGTCTGGTGGAGAGGAGAGAAAGCACACACTTGAGGCAAGCTGCTCACCAGAAAACTGGAGAGCAAGCAGGACTAGAAACTTTTGCAGAAATCAAAATGTGCTCCTCATAGGAACGCTAAACAACTGGCAAGAATACTTGAGTGTTGCCATGGTTAAGAGCAATGGTCTTGGAAGCTAGGAGCAAACTTCACTGTGCTCAGTGATGTAGGAGCGTGAAGACAAGTAGCTTCCTTTCCCAGGGATGGGAGGTTCGTTCTTTGCTCTTCCTAGAGAAGCCGCAGATTCTCTCACAATATTTCAATGTCCCATTTCTGTGTTTCTTCTCCCTCCAGGGGTTGATTTACAATTACATGAGTCTTGTCATAATAATTTCCTCCTAAAATAGGAATTCCAAAAGAAAGGATTATTTGTTCACACAGGTGCTTAACAATGTTCAGGCAACCGAGTGCCGGATTAAGACTTCATTCCTGGGGCGCCTGGGTGACTCAGTTTGTTAAGCGACTTCCTTCCGCTCGGGTCATGATCCCAGGGTCCTGGGATCGAGCCCCACATCGGCCTCCCTGCTCAGTGGGAAGCCTGCTTCTCCCTCTCCCACTCCCCCTGCTTGTGTTCCCTCCCTCGTTGTCTGTCAAATAAATAAATAAAAAATCTTAAAAAAAGAAAAAAAAGCAGCCTGACGTGGGAAGCTGAGTCTAAATAAGCTTAACTATGATTAACCTCAAATCAGACCTCAGTATGACTCAAACTGAAAAACTAAGAGGTAGAACAGTTGACTACAAAAGCCATGTGCCCAGCACCGCGGTTCTGGAGAGAGCTTGGGCTGGATGTCGGGCACAGTTTCTGTTTCCACAGACAGTGGCTGTGACTAAGCCAATTAAATAGCCCAGACCTTGCTCAATTCCAAAGCAAGTTTAAATGATACCTGCCACCAATTTTAAGTGAGGGCTTTTAAAGACTACAGCAATTCATGGCAAAAAGGTTTCTTTCTACGAAACAGGACATTTTATGGCTGATGAAGCTTTAAATTTAGAACTGTTCTCAAAGATCATGTAGCAAATGAGAATTTTACAACTGTCCTAATGAATAAAAACCTCAGACTTTGTCCTGAGGCTTTTCCTGCTTGAGCCAAGTAGCTGATTATTTGTTAAAACAGCGTATCTTTTTTCAAGAGTAAGTAGAAATGACTTAATATTTCTTTTGTGCATCAGGATTTCTTTTCCCCAGGAGGAGAAGGTTTGGAATTTAAAATTCTATCCAGGGAGGGGCGCCTGGGTGGCTCAGTTGGTTAAGCGACTGCCTTCGGCTCAGGTCATGATCCCGGAGTCCTGGGATCGAGTCCCACATCAGGCTCCCGGCTCAGCAGGGAGCCTGCTTCTCCCTCTGACCCTCTCCCCTCTCATGCTGCTTCTCTCTCTCTCTCTCTCAAATAAATAAAGTCTTTAAAAAAATAAATAAAAAAAAATAAAATTCTATCCAGGGACACAGAACGTTGGGTTTCCTCAAAGGCCCACCTTTAACATCTAGGACAAGTTGATCGCTGAGATAGGAGCTGATGGTTCCGTTTCTGTTCAGCCTCCACTTCTGCCGGAACTGTCCATGTTCGGGCCAGAGAGCCACTTTAGCCCCGGGGGTGTCCCGGCCTCCAATCACATCAAGGCACGTGTCACTGGCCTAAAGGTTAGGAAGCAGATTGGCAATACTGTGTTAGCTCCAATCAAGTGAACTGGGTCCCTTCCCTTTACATGACTCTGATCTAAAAGAGAAGACTATCCAGCATAGTTACAATTTCACCAACTGCTGAAGTTGTCTTTAGGGCAGCAGAGGGAGGTGGTACAGACACAGACCCACGGAAGTAGAAGTGCATCTGTGAAAAGGACACCGGCATCTGACAACAGATGGTCAATGAAGGTTTGCTGAATTACAATTAAATTAGCATAAATGTATCAAGTGGACCACGGTTTCTTTTTTTAAGTAGGCTCCACACCCAGTGGGGCTTGAACTCACAACTCTGAGCCAAAGTCAAGACTCAGATGCTTAACTGAGCCACCCAGGCGCCCCTGAGCCTGGTTTTCTTATAAAAGCATCGGGTGATGTGCCAGATAGCCAAACAATAATTACTTTTAAGTGCTTTTCATTTTTGTTGATGAGAAAAAAGTAGAGAATCCGTTGGTGACATAATAAAACTGGTGTTCTATTCCCCAGAACATCAAATGTAATGGAGGCGTCACAAAGAAATGTAAACTTTATTTTAGAAAATAAAAAAATAACTATTTCTTCACTGGGTACTGTGAAAGTTTCAAAATGTTTAGAACCACAAAGACAGATGATTTTATCTGGGCCACAGAGTAAGGAATGTATCACAAGAGCACAACATCCAGTTGGATCCAGTGAGTTGTCTGTCACTGGTTTTAAAACATCATTTAGGCACAGCCAAAGTATGTGATAACCTTAGTTTTTAACTTTCAAGTAGAAATTGAATTTTCTAGATGAAAAAATTCTGAGTTCATTTCACTTAAAAGCTTTAGTAATGTAACATGGTATATTTATACAGTCATGCAACCGTTTCTGGAAGTTGCATTATTTTATAAGGCCATTTGATTTTGCAAGATTCTGGCCTCCAAAAGAAAAAAAAAAAAAAGCCCAAAGGTGGGGTGCGGTGTCTGTGGGGTGGCTGCTCACCTTGGATTTAAAGAGTCCTCGGCAGTAGTGCCAGATCTGAGTTGTCTTCCCGCTGTAGGGAGAGACGCACACGGATGTGGCCCTTGTGTCAGCAACGTTGCCAGTGACCGTCAGATACTCATCCTGGGCCCGGTTCTTTATCCTGATGTACACTGCAGGCTGGGACAGGGGAGAAGCGGCCATTTACAAGAAGGACTTGGGAATCTGGAAATCAGGCTCTAAAGAAGGCAGGCTGAAGCAAGGGGTGAGGGGATCTAGCTTATGCAGTTTCACTCTGCCTCCCTTTAGCCAGTATGTGTGAATTACTCTTTTTCAATTGACAGACCTTAGACCACTGAACACAGATGTTAAGTTGTACAATAATCTCTATTATACTTTTCTGAAAAGTAAACCCTTTTGGAAGGGTAAAAGGTTAATAGTTTCATCTACTGGAATGCCATGTGGCAAGGGGTGGTGCAGCGTCCGGACTTGCTGAGTTTCTTTCGGGAACCACTGTGTCCTCGCTGTGCTGGGGGAGAGGGAGGGGACGAGCAGGAAGGCAAGATACAGCCCACCTACAAGGCTCTCACAACAACCTAGCAAACACTGCAGGAACCACACACACTGTTTTGAGCTATGGTTAAGTGCCAAATGCTGGCTATGGGAGGTCTTGAAAAACCCAGGTTAAGCTGAGGGCCTGAGCAGCTGTGGTAATGACTGTGGACCTTTACACTAATTCAAGGGAAGAGACCACTGTATGTTTAATCATAACACAGGTATTCAAAAATTGGGTAACAAAGAACTTTATCCCCTGGGCCTAAAGTCTTCCAATAAAATAAATCTAGGACTTGCCTCTAAGGAATAATATTAATATTTATTGAGAGCTTAGTGTATGTCACGCAGTGTGCTAAATGCTTTCTGGGCCATTGTATTATCTAAGTTAATAACCAGAAGAACCCTTTAAGAAAGTCCAATTATGACCTGAATTTTACAAAGTTAACACAGATATGGGGAAGCCAGGTCAGCCTGCAACAAAACCATCCCTCTAAGCCAGGATGCTCTAAGTAAGGTTTGCTGAAATATACTAGTTACACTCA